ATCTATCACTGAATGAGTGGTCATAACCTGAAGACTGTGTATAAAGAAAGCAGCCAGATGATTCAGAGAGAGCTATGCAGAAATTGGGTAGTGGGGATAAGAGGACCTGGCCAATGTAATGTAAGGATATTTACTTGACCCCTGTGGGTCCTTCTAGGCCCTGTGATACAGATGATGTAGTTTTTAATATTAAATAGGCAGCCTTCCAAAGAAGAGGAAGAACTGATTTCGGTTTTACAGAGATGGTAAAGCAAACTTCAAAAGAGTTTATTTACTAAATTTATTTATTCATTATCCAGGCTTACGAACTAGAAATGGTTTTGATCAATTGAAAAACTGAAGTAATGCAGAGTGGTACATTATATTTGCTCTTTAGAGTTGCTAATACCAGTAACACAAGAGTTAAAGTCTGATCTTGAGTAGAATACTTTCTAAAGCATCGCGTTTGGCATCGATGTTTGGCATCATGCAAAGCTATTAAAATGGCTAAGGTCGCTGAAATCTTTTCTGTGCAATGTTTATATTTCAGTAGCAGTTAATTGCAAATGTTACTTTATAAGGTTCTGTAGTTGGGTATTTTGTGATTGACAAAATATTTTTAAAACATTAGCTCTTGGGAGGGGTGAAATGAAAAATAATTCTGCTATGGGAAAAGATTATTTTATTTTTGTGGCATAAATATACCCACAAAGTAAGTTAAAATATTTTTTGAATTGTTAATAGACTCAATGCAAATTTAAAGCTGATTATTGAGTTTGAAAATAATGTAATTTTGTTACGTTATTTAGACTTGCAACATGCAGGCATATTTCTAAGCTGCTTTTAGAGATTTTAGTGCGATAAGAGTATTTTTTTGGAAAGAGAATAAGAGGGTTGAATGAAATACTGTTTTGTTCAGTACTATCAAAGTTCTGCTGAATGTCCAGTAGGCGCTTAAATCCATTTTTCTCTCCAGTATCCCGTGTGTAATTGAGTCCAATTAATTTACCTTACGCTCTCAGTAAACTACAATTTTATTATGAACTTGGTAGTGAACAGTATTTATCTTTCAAGATAACATTTGAGATTTTGCTTTTATTGGATTTCCCTTAGATTTGGGTGAGGAAGGTATTGAAACTTTAATTTTGGACTATCGGGTCTATATTGAACCTATAAATTTATAGAAAGCTCAGATAGAATGCAACGTACATTTTATTTTCTATAGTAAACAAGGAAACAAGCTTATTAATAATAGAATACAGCAAAAAAAGTGTGCATTTAGATAGTCTAAAGAATTAATGTCATAGTTTGGTCATTGGGTTTCAAACAAGCTATTTTCAAAATAATGCATGTTGCTTAGTCAGAATCATTGGCTCTATTCAATTCTAGCTTTCCATTTTTTGCTAGAATTTGGGCATATTATTCACAGATGTATCTTGTTATTTCTGTTGAAAGTGGGTTTGGCTATTAAACTAAAAGAGGAATTATGTTTGAATACAATCTTAACTTCTCTTTCTTCTAAGAAGCCGGAATTTCATTTTTCTGACAAGCTTTGATTTCAGGTCAAAGACAATTCTAAAAATTCTAAGCATACAATGTTCATTGGTCCATTAACATTTTTTATACCTAATTGCTTCCCCTTGATGCTTAATGGGAAAGGTTAGTAATAGGAACAGTTTTCGTTATGAATTATAAGCCAGAATTGTGCAGCATTATAGCATTGTAAATGCATCAGTTGTCTTGTAGCATCATTGGCCTGAAATGCTCAGTCTGTGTCATCTGCCATTTTTTTTAAACAAACTTTATCGATTACAAAACCAAAATATCAAACACAACACAACACACAGAAGAAGAAAGAAAAGAAATAGAAAAAAAAATGATTAAAAAACTAACAATTCTACTATCGACAATCTATGGTTCCTTGTTTGTTATCAATATTGGTGATAGATTTACAAATACATCTTATTGCGAATATATAAAATTTACATTTTACGTTATTTACTAATATATTTTCTATTTTTGTTCTATCCAGTCATACCAGCATTCCCAGCTTCTATAATATTCTGATGTTTCTTTTTCCTTAAGTGCTGAGGTTAACTTGTCCATCTCTGTACAGGCTGTTATCTTCTGTATAACCATCTCCTCTGTTAGAATATCTGCTTGTTTCCAACATTGTGCAAAGGTTATTCTGGCTTCAGTAAGAATATGCAGTATTATATATTTGACATTTTTAGGAATTTGTCTATTAAATATCCCCAATAGGAAGAATTCTGGTTTTAATTCAATTTGCTCCGCCATTATTTCCTCTAACCACTTTTTATTCTATGCCAGTATCTTTGGGCTTCAGTGCAGGCCCACCACATATGAAAAAATGTTCCCTGTTTCTTTTTACATTTCCAGCAATTCGGATTCATGTTAGGAGACATTTTCGCTATTCTCAAGAGTGAGAGATGCCATCTATAAAACATTTTATAGGCATTTTCTTTATATGCTGCTGATCTTGTAATTTTATTATTCCTTGTCCAAACCTTTTCCCATTCTGATAATGTAATGCTACGTCCTATGTTTCTGCTCCAGGCTATCATGTTGCCTTTGACTACATCCTCTTCTAATTTCGTCTCTAGTAAATAATTATAAAATTTAATTATATTTTTTTTATCTGGACCTAATAAAATTTTATCTATTTGTTGTGCCTTAGTATAAATTCCAAAATTTTTCTTGTCCTGGATATATCTCTTTTGAATTTGCAAGTAAGCCCACCGATGTAGCCCCTGTTCTTGGAGATCTTGCCATGATTTTAAAGTTCCTTGCGCATCAAGAAGGTCTTTGTATTTTATCATTTTATTAAGATCTAGATTATTGGATGTATCATCGCCTCCATAGTTGAGATCCAAATTGTGTCATCTGCCATTTTTTATGCTGGTATCCATTATACAGCTTTCTGACTGGTGCCAGCAATTAATACATTGTAAACATTCTGTCATAAATGGAAGGTGGACAAACTTTAGACCGGATCTCTGAACAATTTGTAAACAATTGTAAGCCTTAAGAGCCTCTCGAAAGACCTTACCATATTCTGAATAAGTGGTGTGGCTAATGATTGCAAATAGGCAAGTCTATGTGACCTGGACATATAAGCTTTAGTTCCAGAAATATATGTGTTTAACAGAGTTATGGTAAAATTAATGGAGAATTTCTGACTCATAAGTTTTCATTTCTGAATATATTTTTTCTTAGAATTGCAGAGGGACAGGAGTACTGAAGAAGATAATTGGTTTTATTTTAGAAAAGTGAACTATGTGTTTGAAGCATGACTGTTACAGAAATTTAAAGGCACTGAGTGATTTAATGGATTTTGATAAAAATTCAAATCAGTCGGAGAGATTCAGCTTCATTTAACTTATTTTAAATGAGGCTGTGAAATTCTTCTTATAGATTCCAAGATTCTGTTACCCCAGACTGGTATTAAAGCAACTACACTGACATTTGTATAGTTTTTGCTCCTTTAATCTTGCCCAGCAGCCTGAGGATTGATAATAATAATGACAACTGATGAATAGCTGTTTATAATTTTTTTCTTCATTTCAAATATGTGATTTAAACATTTTTCTATTTATGTATATAAATAACGAATATAGATCTAAGCATGACCGATTTGGTCATGGAATTTGGAATTTGGAGATATACAATGGTATTAGTTCATGGCCTATTGTGAGAGATGACTCTCAAAAGAAAGTGGCGTTGTATGTTTCCCCTTTTATTTCAAGAGAAACATGAAGGTAAATCTGAAGTTAAAGACTAATATTTATTATAACATAGTATTTGTCATAATAATTTATGTGCTTGTTAATGACAAGATATTTTTTCCCTTAAGCAAAAAAATAATCTGTATCCATAAACCATTCAGTTCAGAGTTGAATTGGACTATTTAGGAAAAAATTGAGTCATGATATTGCTTGTTTTGACCTAATTATTTTCAGATTTATTGAGGATTTTTCCATGTAATCAATGCGCACAAAAATATTCATTACAAATAGAACAGTCTCTTTATATAATTTTAACTACTTAACTTCTAAGCAGTTCTAAAAATTACACTATATAATATTTCAACCTCTAGTCCAAGAAAAAATAGGGTGATCCTGACTCAGATATATACAATGAAAGTTTTTTTCCTTCCATACTCTTATATCTGATATATTGTGATGCTTTTGTAGAAAACTGTATAGTCGGGGAGAATTTATGGTGCTGTTGTGATATTTTGGTAATAGATAGCCATATCAGAAATTACTGTCAGCTACAGAATTTCCTTTAAAAGTAAGACACGTAGTTTGTTTTTGGAATTTCTCTTGAATGTGTAATTTTGTGGCTTAAATTTTGAAGTACTGTGTTAGCATTTGAAGGGAGACTGCATTATTATTTTGAATAATAGGTTGCAGTGTGTCCCTTCTGTGTAAAATCTGAACAAACTAGGAAACTCTGTGTTTAATATTGCCTATTTTCTAACTTTGAAAGTAATCTGAGCATCTGCAAAACTAAATCTGGGACAGGGATCTGGATAAGTTTTATGAGTCTGAAAACAAATGACATCTCATGACAGAACAGTGTTGAATGCTTTGCCATTTTAACTGCTTTAAGACTTATGTAATATTTGACTGAAAGACTAAAATTCAGCTTTAACTGTTTAGTTGTTGCCATGAGGTAATATCTGACTTCATAAGAAACACCACCTTGTATAGTAAACTTCATATTCAATTAAATATCTTCATATTTACCTTTGTAGTTGGAAAGATTTTGATTGGTTTGATGGTTCTTGTGCTTTGCATTTTTGCAATGTTATAGGTAATATATTCTGTTGTAGCAAGGGGATATTCCCATAAGGATCAGCAAAGATTGACCGGAATATACAGTATATTACAAGCTAGATCACCTAAGGAATGAAGGTCATCCAAGCAAACGGGCAAGCACCTATATAAAGCAGCAGCAATATAAGAATCTAAATATCTTTTCTTTTGTGTATACAGGGAGCATTTGCACCAAGACAAATTCCTTGTGTGTCCAATCATACTTGGCCAATAAAAAGAATTCTAATTCTAAGAAGATGCAGGAGAAGAAGACAATCACCTTAGTGACAATGGCAAGGTATGAATTCATTCTGTACAGGAGAAGGCAGTGGTATAAACCATTCCTATTTACCAAGACAATCATATGGATAAAAATATGAAATCACTGATGATACATTGCCTGATGATAAGGTCGTCAGGTTACATGGCATTCAACATGCCGCTGAGGAGGAACTGGGGATCTTTTGGAATAGTAATGGGGTTTATGATTAATGCTTTTGAGATGTCCAGTTGTCGCTGTTGCCGTACAGGAAAACAAAAGCTGACGTTGCAAAGACAGAATTGCAGTAGGAACATGGAACGTAATTAACATAGTGAAACTTGCTGATGCCTAAGATGTTAATTTGTAGTAATTTCATTTCACACAAGTACAGATGGCACCAAAGCAAAATAAGAGAAGGTAGCTAAATTTGATTGTTAGATTCAATTTGAAATCAATAAAACACACAGGCATCACTTGAAATTAAGCTGTGTTTTCATTCATCTCATCCAAATAATCCTTCCCTCGTGATATTTTGAATTATGTAAAGTGCTGCAGAATGTTTTGCTTTTTTTTTTCTTTTATGTAAAGTTTATAAATTAGACATGGAGTGTATTATTGGGTTTTTGTTCAAAGTATTTTTATTAATCCAGGTGTCAAACATACATAATAGTCTTGCCTTCTATTTTATATACAATGACAACTCTGTGAAGTAAGTTGGGCTGATAATTACAAACCCAGTTGCAGTTTTAAATGCTGTATCTTTCTTAATGTCTTAAAAATAAGTTCAGTGCTTTCTTTTTAAGCTAGAGCAATAGTGTGCAGACCTGTGTTATCTATGCCTGTATTTACCTTTGTCTGGTTTCTAAGCTTTAAAAATCTCCTGTTTCAGCAATTATTCGACATTTAAAATATTTGTTGCTCTTCTCTGCCTTCTTCCCATGGCTAATCAAGTAGCTGCCACAGCATTGGGTTGGTTTATTTAATTTATTTGTATCCCACAAACATATCCTTCCTCTTTTCCCCACAAAAAACTTTGAGGTAGGCAGTGTGAAAGAAAGGTCATCCAGCTGCCATTCATGACTAAAAGCAAGACTTGAACTCATGGCCTCGTGCTTTCTAACATAGTGCCTTAAACATTAGATCAGGTTTTTTTTTACCTTCTGTCTTTAAAGTTAGTTCACTGAAGTGGTTATACAATTACTTCACACATAAATGGTGGTTTCCTTGAGTCTATAATGTAGAGTACACCAACCATACCAACAGATGGATTTTATTTAGCTCATTAAAGGATTTGGTTCTTTCACAAAAGTGTCAATTATATTGCTGCAACAACTTGCATAGCTTGTATAAAAAGTACACCAGGACTCAGACAGTAAGTGAAATCAAGAGTGTTGCAGCCCAGTTACTTATTAGGACCAAGTCTCAGAAATGTTTCTTGTCACTTGTGAAACAATTCCACCAATTCCACTTATGCAAACAGTTTCACTAATTCCTGGTCTGTTTCCAATTTGGAGTCATGTGCAGTATCTAAAAGGCCACCTGCTTGCATATTGACACACTATATTCAAATCTTCAGAGATCCATCCTGGTTCATGGTGGTCATTTTATAGTTTTGCTCTTGACCTGGACTTGTTCCTATCCAGATGAGGCTCATACGAAGTTTCACATCTTTATGTCAGCTGACATTCTTCTTTCCAGAAGCTTTTAAAGTTATTCTATCCACTGTGCATGTGATTTTATTGACTTTCATTATGTTATTGTACGTTCACCTAAGCTTTGAAAGTTCCGTGAAGTTTTAGGATATGGCAAATGATAGAAATATTATTTGTAGCTCACAAGTTACGAATACATATCCCTAAGTCTCTTTTGTATACATAGGCCTCTGTGTATTGCATGTGTTTCCTCGGTGCTAATTTTAAAATTGGCTTTCCTCCATATGTTCAAGGTAACTTTCTTACACAGGGAGGAAAAGAATAATAAATTGCATATTAGAACATAAAAGAACTGCATAAAAGAACAAAGCCAAAAGGATTAAAATCACTGTTCACTGTAAACTACCTACTGCAAACATACCTACACTCACTTTACAAGTAAGTTGACCTGTAAACAAAAGAGAGATCTTAAAATGAACTTACCTGGACAGAGGCTAACTCTGTATGTACAGTATATAGAAGAATCATAATTGCCCCCAAGAATCCCAACTCACTTTTCCCCTGCTTATTTTCTTCTTGCAACACACAAAGTGTTACAATTTGTCTATTTAATATACCATGACCAAAACATAGTCTTCTGTTGAGGATTGCACTGTTGTTTTTCATGTTCTAAGGCTGTGATGGTGAACCTTTTTCATGTTGTGTGCCGAAAGTGCACGTGCTCGCATGCCTGCACCCATGACACAATGCACATAAGACTCCTCCCTGCGCATGCATGCACGACCCTGCACTGCACGCCTCTGCGCATGCGCACGCAACCCCGCATGCCACGTGCCTCTGCGCATGCGTGCGCATCTCAGTGCATGTGCAGCAGATACTCAACCATCAGCTGGCTGGTGGAGGGTGCGCGCGCATGCACAGTGGAGCTCTTCTGGGTGACCTTTTGTGTGCCACTTCTGCCGCGCATGCCATAGGTTCACCATCTAAGGCTTTTTTTTTTTACAAGTATTACTGCCTAACCCAGGCATCTTCCATTCTGTACCTGTGGATTTCATTCTGGTTCCTTTTGCATTTATCTGTGATAAATTTATGGTAACTATTATTTCTCTCTCAGTTCTTTACCTACCAAATTATTCTGAATTTTGTTGCTGGGGTTTTATTCCACCCAGTTTTGTGCCTGCAAATTGGATTAGCATTTTCTCAATCTTCAGTCTTTTAATTGCATTGTTTTGACTTGTGTGCTTAAATTTTTAATGTTACTGACAGTGTTTATATTTTTTAGAAACACTCAAAGCAGTTTCCATAGTTAAAAGAATAGTTTATGCAAAATTTTAAAAAATGTTTACAATCTCAGGAAAGATTGGATTCACATTTTTTTTTTTTTATTACTGGTTCATCACATAATCAGCCAGATGTTTAAACTGGATTTGGCATTTTTAACAACTTACGAAGTCCTTTCCAAGAATTTGAGATTGACAGATATTGATGTTTTTCAAAGTCTTGCTTTGGTAAATATATTTCTCTAAAATATTTTCCCATTGGAGGAAAATGAAACATTAGCATCTCATATTCAGTAAGAATTTAAAGTGATTAATGTTAGAAGAAAAATACTAAGCTCTGTATTCAGAACAAAAATGTCTCTTTAGCTCTCTGAAGAAAATAATTTTTCAGGCAATTAATTTTTAAAATCATATTTAAGCCTCATACTCCTGGCAGAGCAATCGTTAAACCAGTTTCATGTTGTAGCTCTAAAATACCTATTACAGTTTCCTGATCCTGAGGGAGGAGTTCAGTTATATTTACTGTCAAAGGCATTAGCCCTGCCTGTAAATATTGTTTGAAGGTAACTCCCAGCACCATTTTGTGGACGTGTGCCAAAGGAAAGATCACAATCACTACACAAGGGCAGTAGGGAATGACGCTATAACTGATACTGTCCAGAGCTGCCAAGTGGTTCAGAAGTATCACAGTTTCTGTATTTCCTCTTCTAATTTCTAAGGTAGCTTCTTTATTAAAGCAACTCAAGTAGTCTTACCTTATCACTGAAAGCCTTTTTTGAAATGTGTTCAAGTAAATCCATTTCCTGCGGCTAAAATAGACTTTGAAAATGGTCACAATTTATACAATCTGATTTTTTTCTTAAATGTAATCATTTTTAAACATTTATTGTATATTTTTCAGAACTGGACCAGATAAAGAGGTACAATGGAACATTGTAACAGAATGTGTCTTTTTTCTTATTTTGCTTTGTTATAATGTATGCATAACAGATTAATAAATTAGAGAGCTGGTTTTAGGACATTTTGGCGCTTAGTGCTTTTTCATTGTTGGAAAATGTTCTCTCCAGCATTTGGAGTAGTTCAAAATATCCATCATTAACACTTGAGTTATCATTTCACTTAGGATGGAATCTGGCTACATGTTATAAATAATAAAAAAATGTGTCACCCCTGTATTTGTTGTGCGATTATTAGTTTTAGATAACATAAACACAGATAGTCTTCACTTAACCACCACATTTAGGCCCTGCAACTCCAAAACACTAGTCAAGCAACACTTAAGTTTGTCAGAGATTTGCTTAATGTCCACTGCAGTTATTAAGCAAATCATTGGTGACTGTTCAGTGTGATACCATATGGTTTGTCCATTGATTTTGCTTGTTGGAGCCAGTTTTGAAGCTCACAAATGGTGGTCAGGTGCAATAGTGGGATCCTACCTTAGTTGCTACCGGTTCGGTGGGTGATCGTGTGTGCACGTGCTCATCCTTAACGCTCACACTCCTACCTAGCCAATCAGCTGAGAAGATGAAGAAATGAAAACTTAGGAGCGACCCTCCCACCCTCCCATGCGTTTTTCCATCTTTTATCCTCTCAGCTGATCATGGGAGACTTGTTGTCCTCTCAGCTGAGGGAGGCTTTTTTTTTTTTTCTTACTACAGGTTTGGCTGAACTGGTCCGTAGCATACCACCACTGGTCAGGTGACTGAGATAACCTGTCAGTGTAGTAAATGTGTGTCGGTTGTGAAGCACCCATATAGCAGTCACATGACCATTGTAAGTTTGAGGACCAATCATAAAGTTACTTTTTCAGTGCCATCAAACGGTCACTATATGGGGTAGTTGTTAACCAGCCACTACCTGCAGAGAGATCTATATGTCTGTTCTCCCATGCAACTGAAGAACTTTCTTTTGAAGGTTGAAATGAGGAATAGTATCCAGTTCTTAATTACTTTTAAAAGCTGAGGTGAGTGAAGGGGACTTTATGAGCATGCTGATGACATTGCAGAAACATTGTCTACAAAGTTTTGATTACCATCAATATCTATGAAAAACTGAAACGAAAATTCATGTCATATCATCATAAAATGCAGACCTGAATAGTAAG